ATGGTGTATTTGCGTATCGGGTCACTGTATGGATTGCAGCTAGATTAGAACTTGCTCGTGAGCCTGACCCACTCTTCTATTATTCTTTACAGGTGTTCGTCAGTTCCAGGCTGCAGAGCTTAATCGTGCTGAGCAGATATAGTTGTTCACTCCACCGATGACATTGGAATATATTTTGTGTTTAGACTTGGGTTTTGTTTCCAGTCTTTTGAGTTCAGTGGGTTATTTTAGGGGTTTACTGGATGGATTCCCAAGTTGTATAAGTTGGAGAACGATATGTGTTCGTGGTGAATCAGTTGTATCTGAAATATCTTATTTATCAATGGAGTTATTTATTCTGAGGTTTTCAAATATTGGATTACTCTTTTAGTTTTCATTTCAGCAAATTTTATTTATCTCTTTTGATATAATTATTCTGTGTTCGATTATTGCTAATTGGTTTGATATCCTCGGGTAATCGGGCATGGGCCTGGCCAACCCGCATCCGGAAATCTGGGGGTATCACACAATTTACTGGACTATAATATGATTATAAAACTTATTTTTAATGCATGATAGAGTCATTGATATATTAGATGTGATCTACGCATACTTTGGATGCTAGTTGTTGAATCTTTAAACCATTTCCTGCAAATACATGGTTTAACTCTTGGATTTAAATTGCTGAAACTGTAAATAGTCTCCTGCAATTATTTGGGATGGTTTTGGATTGTAAATTGCTACACTGTTAATTATGTATTGTAATTTACATTGGTTGGATGTTAATTGTGGAATCTTATATATTATTCTACAATTAATTAGGTTATGGTTTTGACCTGTAATTGTTGTAGCATTGTATAAACTATTCTGCAATGATATGGATAATTGGTTTTGAACTGTAAATTACTTGTTTATTATTTATATGTTGTAATTTACATGGATATGGAGGATTGTATGCACTGGTATGAGACGGTGACATACTAGGTATGGTTTAGCTCAAAACGCTAATTCCTACCTTATTGATTTTAATTGGTAAACCGTTTTATCTGTTCAATCAATTATATGGATTTTGTGGATTGTATGCACCGGTATGGGACGGTGGCATACTGGGGACAGACTAATTCAAAATACTCAGTCCTACCTATTTTGGATTAAGGGTACGAATTATAAAAACATAATTTTCCTTATATTTAAGTCTGTGCAGTTGAATAAGCTGAATGACGTATTGGATCTCTTATTTAAGTTTGTGCAGCTGAATAAGCTGAACGACTTATTGGATTTCCTATGGATGGATATGAATGGATTTTAAATATATGGTTATGGTACCACGAGATGAGCTTGAGTCTCAGACTCGTTGGTTAGGGTACGTATATGCAGTGGATGCGTAGCTGGCTATAGTAGTTGAGGTGTACCCTGTTAGGTCTAGGTACTCATGCCCACCTTTGGGTGCGTTTTCGCATGTTGCCTTCTATTCAGGTTGAGACCCCTGCTGTAGTTCAGTGAATGTCCCTTAGTGTGAATATATATATATGTATGGACTAGATAGCTATTGTTGAGATATCTAGGGTATATCTACGTATTGGGTCACTGTTTAGATTGTAGTTAGAGAAGAATTTTCATGTAGGCCTGACCCACTCTTATTTTTACAGGTGTTCGTTAGTTCCAGTCTTAGAGCTGGATCATGCTGAGCAGATACAGTCATTCACTCCACCGATGCTGTAGGACTTTGTTTCATATTTTAGACTTGAGTTTCTTCCCAGCTATGTAAAATTTTAATTGAGATTTTTACGGGTCCACTAGATGGATTCCCGAGTTTTTTTAGAAATGGAGAATTTGGATGTATCAGAATAATTTTATTAATAAAATTTTATTCTGAGGTTTTTAGATTATTATTCTAGTCTCTTTTCAGCAATTTATTTATTCATGTTTTCTTAATTATATTCTGTGTTTGTTTATTACTAATTGGTTTGATATCCTCGAGTAATCGGGCGTGGGCCTGGCCAACCCGCATCCGGAAATCCGAGGGTATCACATTAGTTCCTACACTTTCGGGTAATTTCTGAAGATACCTATCGATTAGGGTTATATCTCCTATTTTTCCTATGGCTGTGAAATACTTGAAAAACTTATTACTATAATCCCTTATATATCTAAAATCACAAATCTATAATAATTCTAAATTACGTAAGGCATCGTTATGCTTTTTTAGGGTTTCGTCTAATAATCTATCTTCGCCAACTAACACCTTTATTATTAGGCTGGTAAAACCTTGAATTGTAAAATTATCACATAAGAGGGCATAATCATTAAGATAAGTCACTTTGTACGATTGCCACCAATCATAAATCGTTCCCCTTAATAAAGTTTCACAATAAGTTAGGGCTTGTGTTTTATTATCAAAATTAGTTAGAATAGATTGCCTAATACAGTCTTGTTCCCAATTTTTGATTACTTTTGCCCCATTTTGGGGATCATGTCGTGATATGTCTAAATTGTTCCTGCTTGTTGTGCAGGTATATTATCATAACGTCTACGATTTTGTGTCCATATATACATGTTTGGCATATTTCTATTTTCTACATAGATTTCTTGTTTGGGATTTAACCATTGTCCAGTGGTATAGTCATCGTTTATGGTATTAGTACTACCTATGGCGTTAGGCATTTCTTAGTCAACTAACCCTGTAGGTTGGCATTGAAAGGTTGATGTTTCTACTATTTCTTTTCCTTCTCTATGTTCTACTACATTTAATTCTTCTTTTAAGGTGTTTAATTCATTCCTCGTGTAAAAAGAGTCAAATCCTACAATCAAAATATTTCTTTTAATGTCTTCATTATTTCTTTGCCCTAGCCAGATAAATACTTTCTAGTAGCTAATACTTAGGTTTTGAATATTTATCATTCAAATCATCTATTTCTAAATTATCAAAATCATACATGATTTTATCTAGAATTTCATCTTCTAATCTATCATAGAGAACATTAATTTCTTCAGGAGATTCTATTTTAACTAGAATAGTTATAAAATCTTCTTCGTTATTGTTATCTATTAAATTATCTTGTCATTTATAATTACTGAAACGTACACTGGCTTCACCAGTATGCTTTACATAAATTTTATTATTTTCATAAATTTTTTAGATTATTTTATTAAGATTTGATAATTCCCATTCAGTTCCTTCGTAAATTTCACTACTTACTTTCCTAGCTTCAATCATTTGAATATATTTACTACTAAATGGCTTAACCATTTCATCGAATTGTGCCTTAAACTCTAGGTTATACTGATTAACTATTTTTCCCATAAATAAAGTATTAATTAATAGGTTTTCATATTGACCTGCCATATTATATCCTTTTGTAGATATTGCTATCTTAATATGTTTACTAAATTCTCTAATAGTCATTATGTAATTAGTAATACATCCTATAATAGCTGCGTTAACTGCTAAATCTACTTATGCGTTGGCTATTTGTGCTTGTTGATGGTTAGTCCATCTATCATCATAAATATAAACAAGTGTTTTGGTTCCTACCTCTGATCTATTTAATCCTACTATTCTTATCATTATAACACCTAAATGCATTAGATCTAATTTAGTTTTTTCTAATTCATGATAAACTTCTGGTGGTATGAGATCTAATATGACTTGATTATTAATTACACTTATTCTTCTTTGGCTAAGATGATTATATAGTTTACTCTGAAAATCCAACAAATTATTGGAATAAAGATTAATTTTATTGGATACTTTCTTCATTCCTTTTTCTATATAATTTTGAGCATCTTATTCATTATCATATAAATCTTCTACACGCATTATCTCTTTGGTTTTTCTAAGAATAATGGCCATTCTTTATATGGTTGTAATAAATTTATTCCTTGGTGCTTTTAGTCGAGAAAGGATTAGTTGATAATTTTATATCTTTTATTTTGTTTGAAAGTTCAGCTATTTCTTTAGAAGATTCTCTAGGAATACTTTCTCACAATGCCTCTAATTTTTCTTCGAGTTTATTAACCTTTTCAAATAACTGGAGTAATAGCTGGATTAAAAAGTTATTTTGTCTAACATATATATTGGTAGATTTTACGTCTGTCGTGAAACTTGTAAATCCTATAGGTTTTTTATCTATTTTATAAAGGTCGGCTAATGCTTGTAGGTAATCAGGATTACTAGTGCTCATAAATTATTGTAATAACCTTTGGATATCTTCTTTTAATAATTTTAAATAGTCTATAATTATTTTTTAATTTTATGCTATATTTTTTATATCAGTATTTATATCTTTAATGGCAAAAATTATAATTTTCTTATCTAAGTTATTAGCCTTTTGTTCAACTGTTACTTTAATATAATCTAGATTTTCTCCTAATCGTTTTATCGAGATATCTAGATTATTAAAATCTATTCTGTTCATAAACCTAATTAAAATCTTTGTCGTTTAGCTTCTAGAATATTCTATATAAGAATAATTCTAAATCTAAATTCTTCTATTCTTAGTCGAAGAGTGTGTGTTGTATTTCCCTATTCTTATGAAGCATAATAGTTTCTTGAGTGCTATTTGAAAATATTTTAGAAATTGTAAAAGGTCTTCTTCGAAGAAATTGTGTATAACATAAACTTTAGGGGTGAAAATATAATTTTAGCTTCTAAAAAAGATTGTGTCTACCTTTAATTCATCATATAATAAATATACAAATTACGTCAATAGTAATATAGTTTTGCTACCACCACTTATCCGTAAAAGTTTTTATAAAATCTAAAGAAACTTGACATGACCTTAGTTATAAATCACTCTCTCCGTAAGTACAATTTCTCAATGTGAACTTGCTTAACACTGTACTAAACATTGGCCCTATTCATCACAAGTACTCCAATTTAAATAATAAAGTGGCCCCCGTATGAAGGCAATGCCGAGTCAAAAAAATCCCAAAGCCGTAAAGCTTAAAAATTGTAACAATTTATACATATCTTGTTCATGTCACACCCATATATATATATATATATATGAACAAGACATTCTTCAAATCTCTTAACGTGTTGGGCAATCCAACTCCATCCAACTCATCTTGGATGTGCAGCGGAAATTTTCCTATATATTCTTCTCATATCTATCATCTCATCACATAACACACACATATCTACCACACCTACCAACTTACTATTGAAAGGAAAATTTATAAATTAAACTTTCATGGCTTCTACCGATACGCCTGCACCGGCACCGGAGCCTGAAAAGAAGGCTCCACCACCGGTAGCACCGGCACCGGAGCCTGAAAAGAAGGCTCCACCACCGGTAGCACCGGCACCGGAACCTGAGAAGGTGGCTCCACCGCGGGAAGCACCACCGCCCGTGTCTAAAGCGCCCCCTCCAACCGAGTACTTTGTGGTGGTGGATTTGGTACTAAGGTTTTTACTTTTCGCATCCACGCTAATCTCTGTGGTGGTGATGGTCACCAGCAAGCAAACGAAGTTGATTCCGGTGATGGGTATTCCATTTCCGGTGCTACTTTCAGCCAAGTTTAATCACTCACCAGCCTTCATGTAAGTTACGGACAATATTGAAATATATATATATATATTAAATTAAGCCTATATGGTCATATACTATGAGGTACCATAACCATATTATAAAATTTCTAAATAAATAAATTAATCTTGTATCTATGAGCCTATGAGATGAAGTTAATCATGAAAAAAATAGGTAACATAGTTTTTTTTTTTTTTTTGGATTGAGCACGAACTAGATGATAATTTTTTTATTAATTTTTTTCTTTTTTTCCTTTTTCAAATGAACTAGTGTTCTAACCCTTAAAAGCTGCTAGAAATTTGAAGCTAAACCCATGGTTATAGAAAATTTTCAATTTCATAAAATCTAGTGAGAACAACAATCTAACCCTGAAATTAGCTTGGGCCACTTAGTCAAATTTTTCTTGGAAATTTATAAAAGAATTTCAAACTTAAAATTCATAAAAGTCGGTTGGTTGTTAAAAAAGCCTTAAAAAAAATTAATTTCAACACTAATTAAAAAGTTATTAAAATACAATTCAATTTCCTTAGAACATATCTTAAAAGAAGCTATTTGGACAGATTCAAACTAAGAGGAGAGGTTCAAATTGATTACTGTAAAGTCATGTTTTTACAACTAGGTAATCATCATATCATCATCGAATACGTAGGACAAATTAATGTATTTTAGTAAATACTTCAATCGCCTAGTAATTTAGTGCTTTCGAACTTCGACTCCCTGTCCTTTCAATAAATATATAAAATAAAGTTGGTAAGCGACCTTAGACTTCACCATCCATTCATTACTTCTCTATTATTTACTGAAAGTGGACTTTCGATGCTTAAAGACAACACACAATTCAACTTTAAAAATCAAGTGAAAATTGGCCACATTTACTTTTTCTTTTTAAAGAACCACCTTAAAATTTTAGAATACTGATATTTAGGTCGAAGAGTTGGGAAGAGTTGGAAGAGTTGGGCAGAATTTTTAGAGCAAGTATATATAATTGGTCATTAACATATAAGATAAAAAAGTTGAGAGTCGTACTTTCTTATATTTGACATATATTAGTCAATTAAAATGATTGGTTTAAAGATTTATGTTCAACTCCTAGACTCTAAAATTATTTTTTAAATTTTAATCACAAATATATGTAGTAAATAATGATAATAAAATAAATTTCAAAATAATAATAATAATTTGGATTCAATTTTCATAAACTTAATTTTAGGTTAACAATTCATGATGCAGATACTTTGTAGCAGCACTCTCCGTTGCCTGCTTTTACAGCATCATTACCACAGTTGTATCCTTTTTTGCCCTCTTGAAGCCAGGTTGCTCAACAAAATTGTTATTCCATTTTGTAATAATTGATGTGGTAAGCTCTTAATTAAACCCCATTCTTTTTTTTAATTTTTATTCCTTTATCTCTCTCTCTTTGCATATATATATATATATATATGATGATGATGATGATGATGATGATGATGCAGGTGATGTTGGGGATTGTAGCTTCAGCCACAGGGGCTGCAGGTGGTGTGGCTTATATAGGATTGAGAGGAAATAAACATGTGGGTTGGCAGAAAGTGTGCAATAACTATGACAAGTTCTGTGAACACGTAGGAGCCTCCATTTTCCTCTCATTGTTTGCTTCTGTCCTCCTCTTATTGCTTGTTCTTCTCTCAGTTTACTCTCTCTCCCGTAAGATCCCCAAGTAATCAACTAGAGAGTACTACTGCCTTTCATTCAGAGTCAGAACTTATGTATTCATCAATTTAATTATGTCTTGTTTGTGGATATATGTACTTAATTTTTCCTTGTCTGCTTATGCAGTACTAGGAGTTAAATGCTGTCTTGTATGTTTATGTAAATTCCATCAATCATGTATGATGTGTCATGTGCATTGAAGCATAGTTGACAATGTTGTTGACTTGTTCGTATGTGTTTGGCTCATTGTTATCTACTTGTATTTTATTTTATTTTATTTTATTTTTTCCTTTCCCCTGAATCTCATTCTTATCCACTTGTGCAATACTTTGAAATATGGCTCAGCTTGTTTCCACGTCACTGATTTTTTTCTTTTAGATAAAATATTTTTTTATTTTTTATTTTTTAGTGTTTGAAAAGATTTAAATTGAGGCTAAGATCGAATTCATCGGACCAAACATGTAAAATAATAAATAAATTATTTTTTTGTTAGATTTTAATATCTTTTTTCTTCGAAAAATATTTACGATAATCAAATATCAAAAAAATATATTTTTTAAAAACTATTTTACATTCAAGCAAAGGGAGCCTAAATTTAAATTTCTTGTATGTATACGTGTATAACTTGATTCAATAATGAATATGAATTTTATTTTTATCTTTTGAAAGTTGAAACAATTTCGCATATATCTACCACATTGCTCTAGTAGTAGTAGGATTTTATTTTATATTTTTAATTTGCACCAATATTGGACTAGTAAATAGGTGGAATACTCAAAGAAGATATCATCATGATCCCATCCCAACTAATGATGCCATTGGTGATGGCAGCGGATATGTAAATTAATATATATGTATATGTATATGTGTGTGTATATATATGTATTTGTAAAAATTAATTATGTGTTACGCAGTTGGAAGAACATGATATTAAACTTTAATAATTCGTGTCGAGTTATTAATCACAAATAAATATGAATAGAAGATTTTATAACTTCATTATTTTTATATATCTATAATGCATAAATAAAGTAGTTAAATAAGTCCAACGTTAAGATCGTTTATCAATGGACTAAGCTCCAACTCCAAATAATAGGTAAAACTTTATGCGGAAACTGATTTATCTCTTTTGCTTTTTTGCACATATAAAACTTTACGCGTGTTATTTTATTAGTGTACATAACTGATGGAAATATGCACTTTTATTAAAAGAGAGGGAGAATTAGTTTTCTTTTTAGTAACCTTAATTCCACGAAAAACACTTCTCTAATAATTAATTATCAAAAAATAATTTATAAATTAACAAAATAATATAATATTAATATATCTATTTACTAAATATATTACATGTTGAAATCATGTGGAGCACATAATTAATAAATAATGGAGGCGTAATTGGTGATGACGTGGGCTTCAACTACTTGTATTGCTAGGTGTATTGCTAGGTGTTTGTTGATTCAACGACTTGTATTGCTAGATGTTGGGTTGATGTTGAGATAATATGAAGGCCTTCGGGACCAAATCAATCGAGGACCACTAGAAGAATTAGGTTACTTCCAATAGAATAATAAAATAAGTCACCAAATTAAGACTCGGTCGAACCCTGTAGCATTCATATCGACAGAAGAAAGAGGATTCAATTTTTACAAACAAAACATTAAGGAAAATGATAGAATATTCGAAAAATATTTTCGAAATAATCACCGAATCGGGAGATGGATTAATCACATCAGACTTTAAAAAAAAAAAAAAAATCTGTCTTTGAACACCTCGCCTTTTAGATATAAGCAAAGACTCCATTATTCAGAAAAACTTCTATTTAATTTGGAGATCTTGTAAGTCTACTACTTTGACTTTCTTTGGACTTTGTATGCTAGTGATTCCATATGATAGATCACAAAGATTTATACAAAGAAAAAGAAAAAAAAAAAAAAAAAAAAAAAAAACCCAATTTATTCCATTCTACCATTACCATATCGATTTCATATTTTGCCTTAATTCTTGCTTTCAAAAATTGTAAAAGAGAGTAACGATTGAATAGTTATTGGAGGAGAAAACTTCTTATAAAGCCTAGAGGAAATGTGAATTCCGGCTCGATATTGTTGTGAGAATATGTTCTTATTTAACTTTTTTAATTTGTAAAAATTTATATATATTTATATTTATATATATATATATATATATATATATATATATATATATATATATATCTCAGATTTGTGTATCTAATCACCATATCTTCATATCATTGTCTTTCTCTATATCCACAATACCATTGAGCATGCTTTTATTCTTTTATTTTTTCCTCCAACTTAAGCGAAAAATTATAAAGGAGATTTGTCAAACCACATCACGATTATGTAATTATTTTAAAAATAAGATTCAATTACTCAAACATTAATATCAACCTAAAAATTAGTGCCCTTAAGCTATTAATAAAAATATATATATGGCTTTCATATAAACCCAAGAGCCATCTTATGATTCAGGACCAGTCTACCCATTTATCCTCTTTTAATAATGAAACAAGTGATCGATTGACAAAAACGGCTACATTTTGTGCCCCAAATTTTTTACAATAAATATTCTTCTCACAACTTATTATTAGAGTCGGAACATATTTCACCACTTATTACTTATTAGAACAAACAATATTATATACTATAGTAGTAAATTAAGATAGATTATAAATTTGAAATTTGACTATATCTTTTCCTTTTCAAGAAGGAAAAGAAATTAAATACGAGTTTGACTAGAAATTGGTTCATGAATCTTTCACCTTTTGAAAAAAGTACCGATTCAAAATCCTCTCCAATCTCACAATAACCGATTTTGCCCGATGTCAATTTGTTGTTTAATTCGTAAGATTTCTTCCCTTTGTCTGAAGAATTCTTGCTTCATTGATTTATCATAATATAATAAGAATTGCATCCAACAAGTCACCTCAATTACTTGGTCAATTGTGTGGGATATAGAAAACAACGTAAAATAAAGCATAAAACCTAATATAAAATTCCAACAAAATCCTACAATTTATCACTCTAAAGGTTTTCATAAAATACCAAGTTTTTTGTTTCATGAAAGAAAAAAAAAAAAAAAAAATCTAAGTGTTTAATAAATCATTGGTATGTAAATGTATAGTTTTTCGATGGTATACATTTAATATTAAGAAACAATATTATATGATGAGTAACTACCATTTATATTTAAAAACTTTGTTGGGAGTCAATTTTAAAGGAAGCAAAGCATAAAACAGAATACGTAATCCTTGAAATGTTATGTAATTTATAATTTGCACGGTTGGTAAGAAATGGTAAGAAACAAGGTTTTGGTTGAAAATATATTTTTAAAAAAATACATTTACCAACATTTTAATTTGAAATGGTGTTACTGCAATGACACTCAATTGCTCTCAGTAGTACGATTATGTTGGGATGTCTCGTACAATTTATATTGACAAAAATTATGTATTGCTTGGAATATGTAATATTACAATCTTATAGCATATACAACTTCTCTTATAAACCTTGCATCATAATTTCTAGATTGAAAACTACGTTGTAGGTTCATATATAGTTTGCACAACATAAGTTAATGTTGGTAAATACCAAGGCTTCATTAAACATGTAATTTTTCAAAAAAAAAAATAATAATAAAAATTAAAATAAAGAACAAAATAGTACTACTTTAGATGTTAGGGAAAATTACATATACATGGAGTCAAAGTTCCATATTTACTTAGAGACTGAGTCAAAGTTCCATATTTCTCTAAAATGGATTGCTGAGGTGGCACATGGTTTTTTACTGTTTAGAAAATTGTAATGCCTAAAATGCCCTTCCTTAACAAAAAAGTAGTACCTTCAGTACAAAAAAGTAGTACCTTTAGTTCAAAAAAGTAGTACATTCGGAGAAAAAGTAGTACCTTCGCGGGTGTTTAAAAAACATGGTACCTGGACGCCAAAAAGTAGTACCTTCAGTTCAAAAAAGTAGTACCTTCGAAGAAAAAGTAGTACCTTCGTGGAAGGGTATTTTAGGCACCACAATTTCTAAACAGTAAAAAACCATGTGCCACCTCAGCAATCCATTTTAGAGAAATATGGAACTTTGACTCAGCCTCTAAGTAAATATGAAACTTTGACTCCATTTATATGTAATTTTCCCTAGATGTTAAGTACATTACAATTTGCACAAGCCTATAAAGTTGGTAAGAAATGGTAAAAAATAAGAATTTAGTTGAAAACCAAGGATTTTAATTTTTATATGAAAGGGCCTTGTGGTCCAATGATATCTCCTCTACCTTCCAGAGTAGATGATGAAGATTCGAGTCTCCAAAAAAATAAAGTGATTGTGTTAGTAGTGTGTGTATGAAAATTAATTACTCTTAATAGTATGATTATGCTGGGATGTCTCGTACAACTTACATTAACAAAATTTACTTTCTGTTTGGAATGTTATATACAATAATATTTTCATTAGCCTATACGTTAATATCATACATTTATTTTTCATTTATGTTTCGAATAATGTTTTAAAAATTATCTTTCAAATAATGTTTAAAGTATAAAACTAAGTTATGAAGTATTTGTTTTTCTTACAATACATGGTAAAGTAGTAAAAATCCAGGTGAACCAAATAGACTATACACTTTCGTACAACAAAATGTCCAAAAGGTTACAACTACACACATTTTCAAATGGCAGCATAATGAAACTAAATCTCAAATAATTTTGTGAATCGGCTTCATGAAGTGCTTTGTGAGTTGGGGGGCTTCTTAACATTTATTAGCTTAACATTTAATAGGTTCACAAAAATTATTCTGCATATGAAAATTCACAAGCAAACACTAAAAATAAAAGTTCAGAAGACCTAAGCATACTTATAAAACACATAAAATTTGTGCATAGGTTTTAGAAGGAAGTCTAAACCAAAAAAGAATAAAAAAGAAACAAGAAATCAAAGTTACCTAAACTGACTCGGGCTTTTTAGCCAGTACCAGAGTTGGCTACCGGTTCAAAAATGACAGAGTCAATTCCGATGTACTTTGACTACCGATTCAAAAACTCCAATGACAAATTCCTTCTACACAGTAGTTGGCTGTGTAAAAGTTGGCTACCTGTACAAGGAAAGTGTTACCGGTTCTCAATGGACAGAAGTGATCTGCTCTTTTATTCAATCTTCTAAGTCTCCCTAAGTGTCCTCACTCACTCATATACATTTCTAAAGTATTGTTCTCAACATCCCGAAGTGTATGAAACCACAAACACTTGAAATTCTTCAAATCTGCATCCAATCTTCTATCTTAAAATTTTGAACCGAAAAATTACAACTCGATCGGACTTGTTTTGGCAACAAAATTAGCCAATACAAAATATATATCTCACAATTAGTGCTATAGTCTTGTGAATTCAAACTTGGTTGTACCAAGGTTTATTTATGATAATTCTTTCTATTGATTCTCTATGTTGGTTGCATGTTGTCTTATGTGTAATTAATTGAGGATTAATCTTTACACTAAATGTTTTTTTGTAATTGTACTTAATAATGGCCATCCATGGTTTTTATTGGATACAATTGCTAATTAGTTTGATGGGTTATACGTAGTCTTGATGAGTTGTACTACACCTCAGAGTAATTGTAATTAGGTAAGCAATTCATGCTTGAATTTGATAATCCATGCTCATTCATTTCAATTTGTACTATCCGCTTGATTATTGATGTGTGTTTTTAGCCACATTTTGATTACGAAATGTTTTTCCCATTAATTGAAGACTCTTGGTTTAGTTGCATGAGCTTAGTGGTGCATTTCATGCCCTAAGCCTATCTTCCTGTCATTTAACTCAATCTTCATTTAATTTTTATTTCAATTGCATGTTCGCTCCCTTCTCACTATGCTAACGTATAAGTATTTTATAATTTTCATAAATGTAAAAGTTGATGCCCACTTGATACATTCTAATCTAAATTAAAACACATTTTTGTAGGAACACAACTAGGTCGCATCACACAGCTCATTCTCTCTCCTTGATTATCTTATATTGTGTCTTTCGTTTCTATCCATCTACTATCCTCTGAATTTCTCCATCACTATATATATATAATCTAGAATTTCTTTGATTAGTCTATTCCTTCTCTGATTACGGAAAAATCAAGTTTTCTGAGAAGAGTATCGATTTATTTTCTAGAGGAATTGGGGACATGTTAATGAACTTCAATCATATCATCAAATAGTCCGACATCGTCTTCTATAATAGATTAAACTGATTCGATTTGATAGGAGTTTAGAGCATTAAATTAATTTTGGGAAGATTGGAGATTTAGATAGAGATTGACAGAGCCAGAAACGAAAAAAAGTAGAAAAAATAAAGAGGGACATAAATAGAGAGGGAAAAAGGAGAAAATGACGTGGCATTGCCACATGAGATTCGGACAATTTGTCGGCCACGGCCACGGCCACTTGGGTCGGACAGAATATCATGCCTCCCATCAACACCATAACTCAAATTGAATTCAATTTGAACTTTATTTTTGTAATTATATAAAGTATTCGTAAATCATCCTTGTGTACATGCTTAAGACTCTTGTCCTACAGCAAAAATCACAACCAAACAACGGAAGTAGGACATTAGCCGCTTCATCATACGCTCTGGAAATCTTTTCCTTGCAGTTCCAATTAAATCCCAAAAGATGAAGACACAGAGGCAGCAGTTATTCAGAAACTCCAAGGAACTGAGAGAAGCTTGGATATTTTGGCTCCCAATCTATTTCCTTTCGAGTTTTCGAGTTGTTTAATTTCTTACCCAAAGGATCATTAGTTCCTGCAAAAAACAGACGTCAATGATTATTGTCGCACACATTTTATTCAATGCTCAGCATCAAAGGCAGGATCAACTATATATCGAATGCTCGATAAGCATTTCGATCTTTCACCATACATCAGTTTTACCAGCCGCTATTAAGGGAGGATCTTACCCATAAAAGCTTCGAACTTTTTGCTGAACTTCCCACTCTTTTCAACCAAGTCCATCACTTCTTGCCTGCGAAGGAAGTAACAAGGTAGGGAAATTTCTCACACGGCTAAATGAAACAAATCCACATCAATTGCTTGTCCTAATGGTCTTTCCGGAAAGGTTTGGAGTGTATTCATTAAATTCAAAATGCATGTTTAATAAGAAAATACCTAGATAAAGGATGATTGTCACATCCCATGAAGATCCGACCCTTGAGTTTCTTCTTCAAGATTGCAACTGAGAGGGATGCAGCATCCTAAATACAACAAAAGCACCAAATTTAGTACATAAATGTGAAACAATATTGAAAATGTAGACACATTTTGGGGGCACAAGAAAAAAAAAAAAAATTAACCACTGAAAATGCAAAAATAGCATACGAATATCCGATGCAAAGGAATTGTATCTAAATAATCCGTATCAAAATGTCTTCCCAGCACCCCACTAACAAGATTCAACAAAAGAAAGAATTCTCAACCATCAAAATTTTATATTGATCTATTCAAAGTCATCAAATAAAAAGCAACAATTAACTGCAGAGTAAAACTATATTTACTGTAATTCATGAACAGAAACAACTAAGTACACACAGATAAGTAATCACCTCATAGTGTATAAGATTGAGGATGTGATCTGGACGAGCTTCAACAATCCCTTTTCCCAACCAATAAGTATGAGCGCCTCTATCTTCTTTGTATTAAAGAGTTAAGGCGTGTCACATGCACATCCATAAAAATTAGATCTATGTGATGAATTTGCAAACTTTCTCCTACAATATATGCAACTCTCATAACTCAATTTTTAAAAAGGATATGTACAGTCCTGCCAATCTAACCACACAACCGCCAGACTCCAGCACTACTTTTTCTGCTTTTAAAAGGACGTCTGTCCTAGGGCTCCTCCCAATTGGCACCACTGGACTGTCCTGCATAGCCATGCAGAAGAATTTAAGTCAAGAAACTCAGCGTCACCTGATAAAAACACAGTACATTCAATAAATTAACCTGATAAAAACACAGTACATTCAATAAATTAAAAGATTAAACAGATTATAAGTTCTGTAATAATTAAATAACTCATGATTTCTCATTGTATAGACAAAATAAATTAATTGCCTCTCCATATTAGTAAGTAAATACAAATATATATATATATATATATATATATATATATATATATGTAATGCAACTCTTTACAGAAGTGTTTCCTCATATAGATGATAAAAGATGTCACGAGTAAACTTATCAAATTACTAAAAGTTTGTAAGTTGATGAATTCCTCTTTCACATTCTCATTATCAAATTTACAAGCACCAGACCCCAATGGTTAGTTTGCATACTGCACTGAACATACATCTAATTCTACAGCCGCTAAAACCCAGTGTAGAAGAAATACAAGTTTAATTTATCATGAACACCACAAAAATAAATAAATAAATAAAGACGCAAACAAATAATCTTGTCAAAATTTATAAAGCATATTGTAATTATGTGAACTGTGAATTGCAGATGTCATTGCAGATTTTCAGTGGCTCATGTGAAATGACCAAATTATCCTCATTAACATTGTAATTATAAAAATGTGAATAGCAGATGTCATTGCAATTAAATCAAAATACATAACTAACCTCTCTCTCTCTCTCTCCCTCCCTCTCCCTCCCTCCCTCTCCCTCCCTCTCCGCCTCTTCAATGCATCAATTCAAGCTTAGAATTGGATTTGAGGAAGAATTAGGTCTCAAAGCTACTAACTTTGCCCTCCTCTCCCTCTTTCTTGTAAGAAGAAACCCTAGTTCATTAAAACTAGTTAGATCATCCTATATTGAGAAATTAAAAAAGCGGAATATATAAAATAAAAAATTCGTGAAATGCTTTTTCCTAATTCCCATGCAGCAAATATTCATAAATTGACCTCAGTAAAAGATATTATGACATTTACAAGCCAAGGGTAAAAAAGTTTAATTTTAGTAAAAGATTTGTTTAGTTCTCTAATGGTGCTATTTTGTTTCAAATTTATAGTTTTGGTTGGTTTTTCTGGATCTTAACTTGATTCATTGATGATCAAGAAGTGTTAAAATAAATTGTTGGCTCTCTCCATTTGTGCAAGTCAACAAGAAGACTATATCAAAACTTGTAGCTTTAACTGCATTTAGGGCTCTTTTTAGATAATGAAGCATTTAGGGCTTCAATTTTACAATGAGAGAGAGAAGACTTCATTATAGAGAGACAGAAAATAGATTGAGTTCCCCCAGCTAAGGGATCCCTTCAATAAGGAAGCATAGTGTCGAAGAGGCAAAGGAAAAATTTGTAAAATAGATGGAGCACCTTATAGGCAATTTTTGGAGTGCAAAATTTTCCAAATTACAAAGTGTTGAGTAGAATGTTATACTCAAGACTCAAATTAATTTGCAAACTTTGTTTTTCTAAGTCTTGAGTAGCATGTTAATTTACAAAGTTTGCAAATTAATTTACAATTTTTTATTATACTAATTATTCTATATGATATATCATTAATAATTTTGATATTAATTAGCCTAAATGCAATATACATGTACTAAATACTTGTAAAACGTAAATTAAAATGTAACTGGTCTGTGTTTTAATATTTTTGCAAAATTTACAAATTTTCCACAGTAGGTCAATTTTTTTAATTATATAATTTACATTTTTTAAAAAAATTGAATCTTGAAAAATAAATGTGTATCTAACATATATAATTAATATATTTTTTATTATATTCAAAATGTTGAGTTTGTAAGTGGGAATTTAAAATGCAAGTAAAATAATGAGCGTGTGTAATTTTAAAGCTGGTAAATTAAATGTATATTTAACTGAATATTAAATATATAATTTTAGTAAAATAATAACCTTCAACTTAGAGAGAGAAAGATATAAAAACCCAACTTAGCCACTTTCTCAACTCTCCTTTTTCGTCTCATTCTCAACGATCTCTGTACTCTAGACTTCTCTGCAACTTCCGGCGATCCTACGCGTTACCCCCAACAATCCTTTGATCCCTTCAGCTGCTGCTCACGATCGTTAGCAATAAATTTGTAGATTCAACATGAATATTAAAATTAAATACAATTTACTTTTATATATATAATTTTAGTTATATATTTAATAAAATAAAAAAATTATATCAATATGTTCAAATTTATCTAAGGGCAGTTTTGTCATGCACTAGGATATATCAGTCACTACAAATAAATATAGATCATTCTTGTAGTGAAGGGCAATATTGGCCTGCCACTTAAAAATTTTAAGTGCAGATTGACCACAACTTTTACCAAGTTTAATCTATGAATGCAAATGGCAAATCTCAAGGGAAGTCAGAGTAATTTACCCTATATTAAATCCATATAGTATAAAATGAAACGACCTAGTGACACAACCCTCTGCTTTTTCATTATATTCTTGATGACAAAAATTTCTGAGAAAAGCAAATAAGCAAAGTTATCTAATCAAATGGTACAGCGTTATCTGATCATGATTCATGATGACAGTTTTACCCAACTTAAATTTTGACTAGTGGGATTGAGCTAGCTCACATACACGTGTGCCTAGTTATGCTTACAACTCATGAATAATGAAAGAAAGGTACAGTCATTACATAATCCAACAGCTATAGGAAGGAGCAAAGCGGTCCCTAGATGATTTCATGAAATGCGAAAAGATATGGGAGGTGGGTATCAGATTATAAACAAAAGGAAAGGTCAATGATACAGTAATACATTTGATATGTTAACAAGAAAGGGTATTAAATTGGAGAAGACATTTGGTGTAATCAGAGGCAGAATATATTCATATGATGTGCTTTTATCTCATATTAGACAGTCTTTACAGTTATAAAATAAGAACAAAAACTGTTACCAGCATAACAGTGTGTTATGTTAGATGTAACACCTCATCACATGATCCATTGTCGTTGCAATCATATAGTGCAGAGCTTGAAGTAAATAGGAAAGAACCTTCACCACTCCAGTTTAATGCAGCTTCCCTGCTTGTTAATTGGAGGTCCGAACGAAAAGCATAGTTTAGAAGGCGTATACATTATCTCATAACATTAAAGGACTAGATGCACAAAATCAGATTGTAAATAACAAAGGCAGATAGAAACAACAAAAATTCTCCAACAAAACATAAAAATAGAAAATAGGGACACATTAAAACATCTCTTTTTCTATTGGTTGTTATGATAATGTCAGTAAAACTCATATCAGACAAAGTGATACTCTGACTGTCAATGATCTACTATTACTCATGAATTTCATAAATGGCTATAAAGCTATATACCCTGAGGCCTGAATTATCCAGTCCCTCAATCGCCAACACTCTTAGTCTTCCTTCATAGACGTGTGTGTGTGCGTGTGTATATATATATATATATATGAATTATGCACCAATGTCCCAAAGATTCCCACTTACATAAAAGTCAAAAAGTAAATAGTCAACTGTGTATTTGGCTCTCAAATTTTCCTCCTCCATGTCTTCCGAGAGATTTCTCTCTTATAAAGAGCAACTATTAAGGGATCATAATTAACTATTTACTTTTGACTTTTATGTAAGTGGAAGTCCTATCTTTTAGTTTTAAAGGATCACCTATAAAATGTTTTGCAATTGAATCATTTTCTATTTCTTCTAATGGAGAAATCATTTTTTATTTGAAGTTTCTAGTGTATCAAGAACAATAAAGAGTTGGTCTAATTGACCTATTTTATTATCTATTCAAGATACCATATCTTTGTCTTGAAATTTTTTTAATAGGTTTTTTGGGATTTGGTGTGGTTAGGGGTATTTCACCCATTCTAATGCCTTCAATGTTGCTTTGTATTCTTCCAGTACAAGAAGATTGTGCTGGAGTAAAAGAAGATTTTGAAGACTTAGATGAGTTATCAAAGTTTATCATATTCAAAGTTGTTCTTCTGGAAGAAGAGAATCTAATCTCAACATTTCCATCAGGATGTTCTATTAATTGTTCTAGTAAAGAATTTTTTGTTTTTTGAGTGGGAACTTCTTAAAGATCTTGTCCCGGTGAGAGCTCTCTTGTGCACCTGAACTTTTGCTTCTCATTGGAATAAGAAATAATTCATAATTACCAAAAATAAATGGTGTTTCTTTCTTTGTTGATGTCTCTGTCATCTGCAATAGATGACATACATTCAGTTGTGAGTAATAAATTTGTAAAGAAAATAGGAAATCTAGATTTTCTCTTTTGAGTTATTCTTTTAGTTTCGGATCGGTACAAATTTTTAATCCTTCAGCATTGATTGTGGTTACTAAATCTCCATATGTTAATTTATCATAATGGATTTGACCATCATATTGTTCTCTAAGTTTGGTTCTAACCTTGTCAGCAAATAAATTGGGTAATTCTTTCCAAAAGGCGGATAATTTTCTAAACATTTTATCCCATGTAACATACCAGAAAAGGCATACTAATATTACAATAATAATAAATAATAAATTCAAAATATAAATGATACCACTACTTGAGCAATAAAACAAGCCCGAGCTATCAACGATTTACTCCTACGATTTATACTTTGATTTTGTAAATTGAGTGTCCAGAAATGTTTAATAATATGCCCGTGCTCCTTGGTTAGTGAAAAATACTTGTGTTTCTAACCAGTGTATCTGTTGATTGACTTAATGAAAATATTCAGTCAAGTCATTTAGGCTTCCAATAAATAAACTGTCCCAAGACCAACTTTTCCTGATCTTCAATTAATCTTCTATGAAAATTTCAAGTTAACTATTATTATTTATTATTTTATTCTGTAAATCTTGAATTGTAGGTGGTTGATTTTTGTTTGAATGTTCAAATCTTTGAAGTATATTTTTTAAGTTGCAAGGATTTTTAATTGTAAATTTAAGTGTAAGTTTTTCCTAGTCTTTATTGGTAATATCTTGTTCTTTAAATATTTCTTTTAGTTTTAAAAAATACTTCTTTTGTAATTGTGGATCTTCAATTTTTTCAACAAAAATTATTGTTATTTATTATTTAATGTTATACCTGACAAGTTATATTTAGTTAAATTTATAACGTGATTGGTATGGAATTTCCCTACAGTAATCAAATGAACAATGTTGTCCTCAAAAATCCAACTTTTAAACAAATAAAGAAAAATGAAAGAAAAGACACTCACTAGGACAGTGAGTGTACCCCATGACATCTTCTAGAGGAAATTAAAGATACAAAGTGAAAGTTCAAGTGGGATCATAATGCATTAAGGACATCCAGTGACAGAACAAATCAAGCTCAACGGTTAAAACTTGAGTCATACATGAGATTGAACTTCATTGATGTTAAGTTAAGAAAGATGTTGAGAGAAAATCAAGAATAAACCACAGAAAACATCTATTTGAACATGCATATGAAAAAGGATTTTTCAGAAGAAGCATCTAAACTATTTTCTGCCACGATTTTACAGAAGAGACAGGATAATTAACAGCCTAACAACAAGCCCGGAATTATCAAAATAGTTCATAAAAAGTAGCTAGATATTGATTCTCATCCTACCTCACCTCACCAGGGTAGTCTGACGTTCGGGATGGAGGAGCACAAAAAATCACATATGGGAACTTGTGATTCACTTGTGTTCCTTTCAAAGATGGATTGATCCCTACTTTAATCAATTCATCATGGTGATCCGTAGTAAATGTCTGCCCCAAAATCTGACACCCTGGATGTTCCTGCCCAAATGAATAACCTATAGTTCTGAGTATTTTCTTTCAGATACACACATACTTGAACACAAACCCATTAAACTTTTCTTCATTGTGTCCCCAAAAATATAACACAGTTCTCAAACGCTACGAGATCTAACAAATCGATCTAATAACAAATTGATCCATCAAGCAGCAGTCTTAAACAAGGGCGTGTAAACAATACAAACCATGTAGATACAGGGAATGACTAGTATAAACAATGTTGAATCAATTCAGTTACACCGAGTAGAATTCGAGACAGATATTCCATATAATTTGATTGTAAGAATTGTACCTCCCGCCATTTTTCAGCAACCAAACGACCGAGCACGCCCGGTCCAACAATCATCAAATCATTCGCTCCAACCATGCCAGAGGACGAGGCCTCCAATTCATCATTTGTTGCATCTTTAATATCCCCCAAATCAACAAACAAACTCTTATTCAAAAACGTAGTCATAACATGCAACTAACAGAGACATTGCCCTGACTATCAATTTATTCAGTGACGCCATTTCCATTGTAAAAACAAACCAAATGCCTCAACAAATTGACAATTCAATCACGAATTTTTCATTGAAATCGCAGATACACATAAGAAAAAACAGTCAAAAGCATGATAAACACAACTATCGAATATAATTCATGCAATCACGATAGAAATGACTCAAAACAATGGCAAAAAAAATTGTTTGTGTGTGTTGGTGGCGGGGGACTGTAGAGGGAGAATTGAAACTCTCACCTACGGTAGAGGAGGCGTTGACTTGCAGAGAAGTGGCCATTGATGAACGGCTTGTGTTGAAATTAGGGTTTCTGAAGAAGAGAGAGAGAATCGGAATTGGGCGTTTGGAGGTGTGAGGATAGAGAAATCGAGGTGTGGCCGTCGTCGTCGTGATCCACGGAGCGATGATTCTGTTGGTAGCAAAAGCTATGTTAGTAATGGTGTCCATAGAAATAGATAGGGATGATATAACACTGGATTTTTTTATTTGTCCAATGACAGCCATTATTTTACTTTAGCTATCGTGCCGGTTGCAGAGAAATCGAGAATTGCATTTCTCCTCCAATCATGGACTGACACGTTACATCTTAGATTGTTCACAGTTGATGGGATGATCTGTACCATAAACCTTTGTTTTTTCCATTTTTTCGTTTTTTCTTGTAACATTACTATCAGCCTTTTGTTGAGAACCTTAAGCTCTGCAGGTGTTTGATGAAATTTTTATGAAAACTTTCGAATCCATATGTTCGTTCGAGTAGGAATAATAATGTCAGAAGATAAGATATATATGATTGAAGAATATGTATCAACGGCTAAAAAAAAAAGGTCAGCGTAGGTGACGGATGTGGATTGGTAGTTACTTGATTGGAAGGCTCTTGATACTGTTAGGTTGGCATTGTCGAAGTCGGAAACAATTGATGACAGCCGAAAAAAATGTCAACCAATTCATCCCAAGAATGACATCTCCAAAATGAAACAACACTTTGGCCCATGAATGAGGCACAAGAAACATACCCCTAGCAACTAATAGACCAAATGATGACTCGGCTAGAGCACTAGCTGGAGTAACTGCATACACCTGACCCTGGATTCTCTGCCCCTGAAAACCAAACCGAACTGTATATTCTTAGCGAACTTATTTTTGCAAGTGTGTGAATTTCTCTCAAGTGGTAATGTTGTGGGGTTTAGAGCAATATTTATATGCAAAATTGTAACAATGTGAACAGAAGCTATGCAGCACAACAAAACAATGGTGTTAATTGACTTGTATCAATTGGGATTTAATTCAGGCAAAGATAATGGAAAGGTCTATCTTACTTTAGTCATTTTCACAGAATGTTGTTGGCATTATCTAATTATTTTTTCACAACAAAATGCTTAAATAATTTGATGGTGTTAATTGCCTTGGAATAATATATTGGTGTTTGTGATACCTTCGAATCCGATATATGGATTGATCAGGCCCAAACCCAAACCCAAGAGAATATCAAACAATTAATATATAAACGAACACAGAATATAAAAGATTTAAGAATTAAATATTAAATAAATACGCTGAAAAGAATTATTAAATATAAAATCCTCAAAACAATAATGAATAATAATAATCCAATTCTCTAAAACCTCCAAGAGTTGTAGACACCCAATTTTGCTCCTACCCATTTGTAAGGGTATTCCGGGAAAACTAGTTTGGCCAAGCTAGAAAGATCAGAAAATCCGACCACCGGATCATAAAATGGATGTCGCCATTGGATCTGAAACGTCTCGAAACCATAAGATACATCTAAAGTCCACTTCGTAAAGCGTTTTCTAGTAATCCATCAAGGTAGGGGGCAAAATCGTACTTTTCGCACCCAGAGCAATTCAAAAATAAATAAATTTAGTATTCAAGTAAATAAAATGGACTATGCCATTATGTCCTAAATGAGTCAAAACACTAAAGTATGAAAATACGTAAATAGAAAAAATAAATATAATATACAAAAATAAAAATAGAAAATATACAATGATAATAAAAAGAAAATAAAATACAATAGGAAAGTAACAGAGCTTTACCCAGAATATTATCTTCTGGACAAACAAGCTTAAGGGGTCGCATGCTTACGACCCCATCTCTTATATTTATTTATCTAATAGATTGAATATAGATTAAATATATACATAATACAATAATAATAATTAATTATTATTTGTGTTGTAGTGGATTGCCAAACTAGAATGTTCTGGACAAACATCTTAATGATATACGAGTAACTGAATTGATCCGTAAATATCACTTCCCAAAAAATAATGTAATAATAAAATAGATAATATAAATTTGTTAGTAAGTTCACAAATTTAATATCTCCGATTATCCTCGTGATCTTTTTAAAAATAAATGAGTGAGTCAATTTTTCAAGAATAAATACTTATCCACCAAGTCCTATAAAGAGACCAATCACTGCTCTGTTTAGGGGGCCGAGGACACATACACTCCATTGCCAATCCGCCACTAAACCCTAGTATAGAAAATCTCTACCCATATTTTGATATAATCACCACTACCCTCGTAAGCCTTAGTATCTTTCTCACTACTCTCATAAGCCCTGATATCTTCCAAGCATTCAAAAGGAGCCAAAGTTCCGCTGAAGTTCTGGCCAGAGGCCTTCTGCAATCTTCAGAGTAAAGGTGCTGCTTTTAGAAAATAAAAGAAATAAAAATAAAATCAAGTTGTGCTTTGTTTAACAGGTATTCTTTCTAGGAACTTTGCTTTGCATTTTATTTTCTTTCTCTTATACACTGCTTGTATGTTCATGAATATCTGCTAGCCCTTTTATTATTATTATTATTATTTTTCTTAGTCATTATTTTATTGGTCATATCCCTGAGTATATATAGTTGTTTTCTTAATCATTCAAGCACATCTTGTTCATGATACGTCATTCATTGTACGCTACACAGCCTTGTTAATATGACCGACGAAAATAATTTTGGAGAAATATAACCTCATTATTATATTGGGTGTTGAATATACATATGCTGTGGACAACATTCTGGAATTGAATTTTATTTTAGAAGTATAAAGAAACAATTGGAACCGTAAAAGGAAATAAATGGTTTTTAGGTTGATTGGTTATATTCTTGACTCAGTACATTAAAAGTAATTTGTGAATAGATTAGTTTCAAGTAACCTTAGTTCTCAGTCTAAGAAGCCTAAGCATGCTTGCTATGTATTTATATAAAAATATATATATAGATAGTTTTCGTCAAATAATCTTTAGAGTAAAAAAATAATAATTTGTCCTAATATATATATATATATAATAAAAGTATCAGTGTGGTTCTTTTTAACTCACTTCAAAATAGTATTAAAAAGTTTAAGTTGAAGAAATTCGGTCCTTAAACTTGGCTTTCTTAACGAAAGCCGTTCTTTTACAAGGTATGTTTTTCTTAAACAAAACTTTCCAAGTTCATGTTTCTTAAAATATGAATTTTCTAAATATTACATATTCTTCGTAGGTCACATCCTTTTAAAAGATATATGTTTGTTTCAAATAATACTTTGTCAAAATTAAAGTTTCATAAAAGTCATATATATTTTTTTAAATATTTCCTAAATGCTATCTTTCGTAAATCAAATATCTCCTTAGTTTTCTTAAAATTAAAGCATTCTTAAATGCTATTTTCTTAAGAAAAATCTTTCCTAACAATTTCTTTTTTATAAAATAAGACTTCGTCATTAAGATCATCCAATATTTTTGTAAAATCTTATTTTTCTGTAGAAATAGTATTTTTTTTACAAATTAATTTGACATTAGAAATAATATTTTCTAAATATCATATTTTCTAAAAAGTCAAACTTTTCTGAAATGATATCTTCTAAAGTCATATTTTTGTTTAGCAATCATATCTTTTAAAATATATTGTAAAAAAATATCTTTATAGAAATCATTTTTTTTTAATAAATCATATACTTTTTTTAAATATAAATTTTCTAAAGCATACAAGTTTCCTTACAAATATAATTTATTTAAAATATGTGTTTCTTAAAACTTGATCTTTAAAATACAGGTTTTCATTGAAATAAAATTTTATTTAATACATATGCACTTAATAACAAATATATATACTTAAACTATAAGTTTCTTTAGAAATATATTTTATATAGATTTCTTTAGAAATAAATATTTACTTTATTAAAATATAAGCTTCCTTAGAAATATATATGCATATATTCTAAAGTTTCCTTAGAAACATTTTTAAAAATCAAATCTCCTTAGAAACACTCTAAAGATACAAATTCCTAAGAATATATATATATATATATATATATATATATATATATATATATATTTATTATAAGTTTCCTTTATTAACATTTCTCCTAAAATGAATGCTTAATTGAACTGCATTTGACTTGATCCTCACCTTTTTATGAAATGAGGTATGTAGGCAACCTAGGTCACTCCTAGGCTCGGTCACATCAATATCAAAAATATATATTTTCTTACAAAACTCGTATGTTTATGCATAAGCTATCCCTATAAAAGAAATGATCTTATTTTCATATAGGTAAGATTAAATTTCAAAGTCATTCAAATAAATTATCTTTAATTATTAAATTGCCGATATAGTACTTTTTGGAATGCAATATAAAAATAAGGTAACCGTGTTTCACGGGTGTGGTGGGGTGCCTAACACCTTCCCCATACACAACCAAACCCCCGAGCTCGTTAATCTGGTTTTCATAGACTAATTGGATGTCAAATATGTTAGGGCTCAAATTAGACCTCTCAAGTGTCCATCTATTTTAAGGTAAGCTTATCAAGTAATCTTATCTATTTTAAAGTCTTTAGACACCATAAGTGACCTAACACACCGTAATCCTATGCTAGATGGCGACTCCAAATATTAATAAATTGACCTTACTCCAAATAAAATAAAAAATATAGACCATAGTCACTCCGTCGCATTAAACCCATTTTCTGACCCATTAAGTGTTTAGTATAACCTTATATAAAGGGCAGGGAAAATTCGGGCGTGACAAGAGTACAACTCGGGAATCCATCTAGTGGACCCCTAAATAAAAATCCCAACTAAACTGAATAACTGAAAATAAAATCCCAAACTAAAACATAGAGAGAAGTCCTACGTAACAGATGAATGAGTGACTGTCTCCGACAAGCACGATCAAGCTCTAATGCTGGAACCGTCCCGTACCTGAAAAGAATATTAGAGTGGGTCAAGCCCACGAACAAGTTTTAATCTAACTGCAATCCATACAGTAACCCGATACGCAGATACATCATAGATATCTCACAATATCTATCTAGTCCATAAATATATATATATATATATATATATATATATATATATATATATATCCACACTAAGGGACTTTTATTAGACTACAAAGGGGGTCTCAACCTGAATAAAAGGCAACATGCAAAAACGCACCCAAAGGTGGGCATGAATACCTAGACCTAATAGGATACACCTCAACCTATCATAGCCAGCTACGCATCCATTACATATACGCAC